TTGCTGGCTGAAAACTACTTAGTCTTCAACACTTTGGGGACATTTTTAAATATCCCCCTCAAGTCCCCTCTGCAAAGTACAAAATTAAAGAAGTTCTATGGTCACAGCATACATTTTAATTTTATGACATCAGCATTGTAATAACAATATCCACACTAACAAAGTGAGCGCTTGGAGAAAATAGCAGCTGGCACAAAATAGGTGACAAACCAGATGAATACAACCGAGAATCAAAATAAGTGCAGCCCTAAAGCAAGTACCATAAATAAATATCGTGCAAAATGAATAAAACTGATTATAGTGACTAAAACACCACTAAAAGCATGATCCAACAAATGAATAAATGTGAACAGTGACAATCAAATCAAAGTCCAAATCAAAAAGTAAACATCTCAATTAATGGTGCTTCATCTGTGTATGTTGCCGAAGAGTGAGGTCTCCTTTAAGTGAATCCATCACCACTATGCGCTCACCATATATAATAAGGTATTGTGCCTCGTACAGAAACTGCAACTCCACAGATCGCTCAACAACCCCGATGGTCGGTGATGTATCCTGTTCAAATTAGCTCACCACACGGATCCAGAAATTCTATTCATAGCGCAGCAAATTTATTCCAATAGAGTAAAAGCATAGTAAAACCACGTGGAATACAAATTGAGCTGGCAAAGAACTTACTAAGAGCCGCGGCTCTAAACACAGATGCGACCGCGTGACATCAGCACGTAGGCTCCTCTCAACGCGTTTCGTGCACCAGCACGTCTTCAAAGGACATGCCTATTTGCTTCTGACACTGGGTGGGAACTGACTAACTGCCACTGACATCCCCAGTGATACTAATACAAATGCTAATAAAAGCACTGACACTGTACTAATGACACTGGGCAGGAAGGGGTTAACATCTGGGGTGATCAAAGGGTTAATTGTGTGCTTTATGTATTTTAAGAAAAAGAGAGGAAGGCACCTCTAAGTGCAGTAATGACAATTTATTCAGTAAACAATGGAAAATTTGCACTTACAAGATAAATGGTTAAAAAGACTCATCATGTGGTAATTAGATCCAGGTGGGACATCCAGCCGTCCAGCAGCAAACTGCCTATAGGATCAGGAAGTAGAGTCCAGGATGTGCCTGTGCATCAAAAATGAAGCTTGGAGAGCAGAGTCAGATGTAGCAGGTGAAGGGGCGGTAATGCATTTCGGAGCATGCACAGTAGGCTCCTTCTTCAGACCTCTGAGGTCTTTTTAACCATTTATCTTGTAAGTGCAAATTTTCCATTGTTTACTGAATAAATTGTCAATACTGCACTTAGAGGTGCCTTCCTCTCGTTTTCCTGTTACTGCATTAGAGCCTTACAGCTACAGAGGTTGGGCTCCAACAAGCGCGCCTTATATAATATACATTTTATATGTTTTGCATTGTGTGCTGTTTTACTTGGGAGACATGCTGCTTTGTATCTCTCTCTGCTGCGCAGAGAAATACAAAGCAGCATGTGCTTGCTGCCAGGAGAGAGACCCTGCCAGCTCTGCTGACGATCACCGAGTCCTGGCCGAGAATCGCCGGCCGGGACCAGGTGATTGACATATCCTGCAGCCAATAGAGTTGCGGGTAGGGCGGCGTGCCCCCTGCCCGGGATTGTATATTTATGTGATTTTGCACAGTCCTGCCACCCTGTAGCAGTATTTCTGCTATAGGGCGGCAGGCAAGTGGTTAATTTAAACTCCAAAAAAGCCGCCACATTCAACTGCCAATTTAAAGTCTTTTATTACAAGGTCAGGTTTTTATAGTATTGTATTGTGATAGGGCTGCACCGATACCGGTTACTCGTGCAAATGCTCTGATACTTTCTTGTATAGTGCGATGCAACTTGAGTCCATACAAAATGAGTGGGCTCAAATCGGACTGCAAAGAATTGCATGTGATTTGAACAGGAATGCAGCGCAGTTTCTGTTCTGAATCACGTGTGATTGCCCTGCGGGTGCGGTGCGATTTGCAGCGTGATTTGAGACATTTGTTTTGTATGATCCAAATCACATGCGCCCGCAGGGAAACCGCATGCAATTTGGTCTCACTGAATGAGAATTGAAGGTAGCTGCTCTCCTAAAGTTGTACTGTAGCTTTCTGCAATAAACTGTGCTCTATAAATGGAGTATTGGTGGGTGAATTGGAAGGGTCCCCCTCCTCCATTCACAGAGAGTTTTTCATTGCTGGAAGCTACAGTACAGCTTCTGTGAATAGAGGAGAGGGCAGAAAGAGCAGACATAGTGGGTACTCTTTATGAGCGTCTATGATATGTCCAGCAGCTCCTATTAATCCCAGCACATCTGGAAGATTATTGCTGCAGGGATGTTTGTGTGGAGGGGGAGGGGCAGAAGATTTTCAAAATAGCACAAGGGACACTTCTTATTTAAAGTGTTACTAAATCCACAACAGTAAAATCAGTCTGTATATGCTATAAAGCATGCTTGTTATACTCACTGTGGAACCTAAAGGGTTAATCCTCTGCATTGTGTAAAAAGGCTGTTTGATCCTGTCTTCTCTGACCCTCCCCTTCTTCTGTCCCCAATCCATCTGCTGACAGAACAGAGCCTTGGGGGCAAGTGCTCACGTTGGTGTGTATTTCTAGAGCGTTTTTTTTTCTTGTGAGGGTGCATGTGATCAGCACATGGCCAATCAACGCTGTCCAGACAAAGGGTCAGGGATTATGCAACCTCATAGGGCAATTATGGGGGAGAATGAACACTCCTCCTACAAGCTTTAACCAGTGCTCTGCTGGACACTGACAGAAGTCACAAGACTGCTCTAACTGCTGATGAGAAAAGGTATTTAGCAGTTTATATTTATTAAAATAATTGCATTTCCATGATCTGTGTAATATGGGAGCTCAGATATAGTGAATGCAGGGTCCTGGGTTTAGTAAAACTTTATTGAAAGTAGCATCCTTTGTGCTGATTAAAAAAATAAATAAACTTAGGCTTTAAAGCTTTAGCAGTATGCATTGCCAACACCATCAAAGCATCTAGGATAAGTTATATAAGGTATATAGTTAAATAAGGTATATAAGTTTTAAGTTTTGCTAATCCCATGACCCTGCATTTACTATATTTAGTCTCCCACTGTATACAGCACATGGAAATCCAATTATTTTAGTAAATATAAACTGCTAAATACCTTTTCTCATCAGCAGTTAGAGCAGCCTTGTGACTTCTGTCAGTGTCCAGCAGAGCACTGGTTAAAGCTTGTAGGAGGAGTGTTCATTCTCCCCCATAATTGCCCTATGAGGTTGTATAACCCCTGACCCTTTGTCTGGACAGCGTTGATTGGCCATGTGCTGATCACATGCACCCTCCCAAGAAGAAAAAAAACTCTCTAGAAATACACACCAAATTGAGCACTTGCCCCCAAGGCTCTGTTCTGTCAGCAGATGGATTGAGGATAGAAGAAGAAGGGGAGGGTCAGAGCACTGTGACTTCAGCATAGCACTGATTAAAGCTTGTAGGAGGAGTTTTCATTTTGCTCTAGGAGGATACAAAATCCCTGACCTCTGTCTGAGCAGTGCTGATTGGCCCTTTGCGGATCACATGCACTCTCCCAAGCAAAAAAAAAAATCCTCTCTAGCAATACACACTAAACTGAGCATGTGCAGAAGGGCTACAGGTTCAGTTTGTCTTATCAGCGTTGACATTTGAACAAGAGGAGGGGCAGAGAAGTCAGGATCAAACAGCCTTTTTACACAATGCAGAGGATTAACCCCTTAGGTTCTACAGTGAGTATAACAAGCATGAGTTACTGCATATACAGACTGATTTTACTGTTGTGGGTAACACTGTAATGTTCCTACCAAATAGGAACATAAAAATATTTGGTTCTTTGAAACATTATAATTATCATTGTTTTTCTTCGGTAGCCTCATTACAAGTGGGTTGCATTTGTAACTTTCAGTTCCATATCTGACTTGGCATCTTTACTGCACATACAGCGAGGAAGACCACCCTTTAAGTTTCGGTGGGAGTCAGCTTGGTTAACCACATGAGCCTTTCAGTTGAAGGAGGATTGTCGGGGGTCTCTACGGAACAGGATCTTTGAGCGGTTTGTTGTGCTATGGTGAAACTCGATGTAGATACCAAGTCATGACAAACTATAGGGTGTGTGGGGATGTCTCTCTGAGAGCCTCCGTGAGCTTGGCTGTTATTTAAATGGAATAATCGATCTCTTAATTCATCTATGTGAACTGTTATGGAAACAAAAACCTAGGCCTGAGCAAAAGCAGCATATTGGATGAATGAAAGTCATTTTACCTAGTGGGGCTTGTATCTTATTTTTTAATTTGTAGCTATGTTAGAAATGCACAAATCTTCTGATTTGGTTCCAAGTGACATTGGGGTTGATTTACTAAAGGCAATTAGGCTGTTCACTCTGAAAGGAAATCTTCGCTTAGCTTCGTTAAAGTGGAACTTAACTCTCTCAATCATCATGGGCTCTCTTTAATTCTTATGCTGCTAGCATTAGTAAATGGATAGGAAAGTATATTATATTTACTTGTTTTATTTTTTTTTTTTTTACATTTCCTTAGTTACTTCTTGGTTGCCATGCCTAGACAAATTATATCATACATGCCAGGAGTCTTGGGAGTGGAGGGAGGGTTCTCAGCTCAGCCAATGCCTGAGCTAAGGGCAGATGGATTCCAGGAAGTAAATACTACGTGAATCATCTACCCTTTTTTAAGATGGCCACTGCTAGACATGCCAGGGGGTGTTTTTCAAAATGATTTCTCAGTAAAGCATGGAGACATGGATGGATGGGGGAGTTTAGCATTTTTGGTTTGTGGTGCTCAGATTTTTATACATTATTATTATACAGGATTTATGTAGCGCCAACAGTTTGCGCATCGCTTTACAAAATGACGGTAGACATTACAGTTACAATACAGTTTGGTACAAGAGGAAACAGAGGGCCTGGCTCGTTTGAGTTTACAATCTAGGAGATGCAGTGCACTTCCACTTTAAAGCGGAGCTCCACCCATAAGGGGAAGTTCCGCTTTAAGGACTGCTCTTCCGCTCCCCATTAAGGATTGGCACCTTTGGGGGCAGGTACCCGAATTTGACAGGTAACCGATCCCATTTCCTGGGCGATCGGAAACGGAAAGTGTCCTCCCTCCCTGTAGTCTTTTGGGACACGTGACAGGTCCCAGAAGACTACAGGACCATTCACGAAGCGCAGCGCTACTCGCGCATGCGCAGTGGGTACCTGGCTGTGAAGCCGCTATCACAGCCGGGTGCCCACATTGAAGATGCCGGCCTCCTGGAATCCAGGACGACCAGTGAAATGCGCTGCGGGGGACACACCACGGGACCGAGGGACAGGTAAGTGGCTGTTTTTTTAAAGTCAGAAGCTACAGTTTTTGTAGCTGCTGACTTTTATTTTTTGACAGGTGAGTGGAACTCCACTTTAATGTTGTTAAAATTGACTGTGCAAAGAAAACCCAATCATGTTTTTTCTTGCATATGGTTGGATGATGGAAGTCAGCAGATCTTAGAGACATACAAGAGTGATGGCAGAAAAAAAGACCAAGTTGTCCATGGAGTCTGTACCTTTTTTTAAATTCACATAAATAATTTATTTTTCCTTTTTTTTTTTGTTTCTTTTTTGTAACTTTTTTTTCTGAGTATAGCTAGAACCTGCAGGTATTCTACAGTTGGGAGCAGGGGTGGACTGACAACTCATGGGGCCCCCCAGGCAATAATGGACCATGGGACCCCTGTGTCCTTGCCCAAACTCAAAAAAGCCTATGAAAAAGGTTCCAGGGGCATCTCATGGGGCCCCCTACTGACCCCGGGCCATCGGGCAGTGCCCGAGTTTCCAAATGGTCAGTCCGCCCCTGGTCGGGAGCTGGGGTGGACTGACAACTCATGGGGCCCCCCAGGCAATAAGGGACCATGGGACCCCTGTGTCCTTGCCCAAACTCAATAAAGCCTATGAAAAAGGTTCCAGGGGCATCTCATGGGGCCCCCTACTGATCCCGGGCTCTCGGGCAGTGCCCAAGTTTCCAAATGGTCAGTCCGCCCCTGGTTGGGAGTGATTACCTACAGTACAACCAAATGGCAACCACCCCAATCTACAACTGGCCTTTGCAGCAAGGAGCACATGGAAAGGCAACGCATGACAAAAAACAAAACAAAAATTTCCAGCTCACTTACCAGCCAGCGTGCAGCAAACCGAATTGTCTTGTCTAACCGTTCATAAAACAAGGGGTTTAGTTTACACCCATTTACAAATATGTGCATAAGCTGCTGAGGCCACATCATGGCACCCCAGTATATCTGCAGTCCTAATTCTATCAAATATGAGAGTCTCCAAAGCTGGAGCACGTGTACAGTATAATGATGGATAGATTAAGGGCAGGCTTGCCTGGAGGGAGTCCACCCTTCCTTAAAGGTTTAGGGACGCACCGGACAACCAGCTATAGCACATTGGCAGCTGAGGTATGCAGTATGTCTCCTCGCCAATTCAGTTCAATCTACAGTTGGGAGTGATTACCTGGAACTGATTCTAGCTTGATGCCAGTTTTAAAACGTGGGTGGTCTCTCCTGATTGGTGGGCCATGATTAAGCTCTAGAACAGAGCGAAACGCATCAGCCTTCCTCTGCCCCTACATGGGGTTCAGGTGCTGTTTTACATACATTAATCAAAGATAATCTTTTCTCACAATACAGTCATCTGGATGTTCTATTACTCGTAGAATGCAATATTGTTCTAGCCAATAGAAATTATTTCACGTGTAGCCTTCTAAATTCTATTTGTGCGTGTACTTTATGTGCCATTACATGCATTTTTTAATCTATCTGACAGCATCTGGCAACAACATTCAGTTTTTAAATGAGCATTTTATTATACCAGTGTGCATGAGCCCTTACTTAACCACAGACCCAAAATATAAGATCTCATACAAAACCAAAGCACAGTACCGTCTCTATACCTTTTACATGGTTTGATGATCAATTTTTCAATAGCTCTCTCTTCTCCAAATGTCAAACACAAAGTTCCTATTTTTTTCAGTACTTTTTTTAAACAGCTATTTAGAAGCAAATATAACATGGTAATATACAGTTGTGTTCAAAATAATAGCAGTCAGACATCACTAACCTGATCAGTCACTGTTTTTGGTAGAAATGATATTTCTATATGGCAAATAATTTACTAGCAGGTGTAGTAGAGTAATAGAAATCCAACAGACCCGACAGTCATGACATGCATGCTGCTGATTCTGTGTAATTGAATCACTAATTGAAAGGGGCATGTTCAAAATAATAGCAGTGTGGAGTTCTATTAGTGAGGTCATTCATTCTTAAAAAACAGGTGGCAATTATTGCCCTTATTTAAGGAAGGAAGGCAGCAAATGTTGTACATGCTGGTTACAGTGCATTTCTCTCTGAAATTCTGAGGAAAATGGGTCGTTCCAGACATTGTTCAGAAGAACAGCGTACCTTGATTAAAAAGATGATTGGAGAGGGGAAAACATATAAAGAAGTACAGAAAATGATAGGCTGCTCAGCTAAAATGATCGCAAATGCTTTAAAATGGCAACCAAAACCTGAAAGACGTGGAAGAAAGCAAAAAACTACCATTCGAATGGATAGAAGAATAGCCAAAATGGCAAGGACTCAGCCAACAATCAGCTTCATGAAGATCAAAGAAGGTCTAAAGTTACCTGTGAGTACTGTTACAATTAGAAGACGCCTATGTGAAGCCAAGCTATCTGGATCAGTTTGAATACATCAGAATACTTGATGAGGTCATGCTGCCTTATGCTGAAGAGGAAATGCCCTTGAAATGGGTGTTCCAACAAGACAACGACCCCAAACACACCAGTAAACGTGCAACATCTTGGTTCCAGACCAACAAGATTGAGGTTATGGAGTGGCCAGCCCAATCCCCGGATCATAATCCAATAGAAAACTTTGTGGGGTGACATCAAAAATGCAGTTTCTGAGGCAAAACTAAGAAATAGAGAAGAACTGTGGAATGTAGTCCAATCATCCTGGGCTGGAATACCTGTTCACAGGTGCCAGAAGTTGGTTGACTCCATGCAACACAGATGTACAGCAGTTCTCAGAAACAGTGCTTTATACAACTAAATATTCATTAAGTGATTCAAAGGAAAGCAAAATCTTCAAACATTTTTCAGTTTATATAGTGAATGTTTGAGTTTGTAAAAAAGAATACAGACACTGCTATTTTTTGAACAGTCTAATATTCACTTTTCTTCAATTTTTTAGAGGAACAACACAAATTTGATATATTTTTCATCATGTTTTGATTTGGAATAGAATGTGTAGTGTTCCCAATGCATTTGTGTCTATGGAAATAAAAGCTATTAGAAGGATTTTGAGCTTTATTCACTTTTTTCAACACACTGCTATTATTTTGAACACAACTGTACATGGAAAATGTGGCATGAGTTACGCTTTTGTGATCTGACCCTATTGTGCACAAATGCTAGTTATCTGCATGACAAATAATACTCACAGTGGTGTTTTAGGGGCTTTTATTCCTGTGATAGGGCCAAAAAGTTTGTGGAATTTTCTTACTTTTGCCAAAAATGTAAAAATAAAACTCAGACACTGTTAAATACTGTTTATCTGTCATTTTTAAGCACATTTCTTTTTTTTTTTTTTTTTTTTGCACCATATATCCGTACTGTTATTGTCCATATAAGTAACACACTTACAAGAAAGAGAGAAATGGGAAACAGAAATGAAAGAGCAGCTGGAGTGACAGCGAGTTACATATCCAACCTCAGCAGGAAGTGGGTGACTTGCTTTGATCACCTTTGCAGGATCACAACTGGAAAGTGCTGCGGTGAAGGTATCTTTGACACATTAAAAATGTCACACCATTTATAAAGGCAGATGATTCATATATAGCATGCTTTTAGGTAAAGCTTTCGCACTGTGGATTTCGGTGCCTAGTGACTCATAGATACAAGGAAACGGTAGCCGTCATGTGGAAGTGTCAAGTCACAAGTGTCTCACGTTCCAAAAAGGGATTTATAGAAAAGAAATGAACATTGATTGATAGTGAATTAAGAATCACAGTCTAAAGAAAGAATATAAATTGTAGTTGGTGAATCGGAGTTCCTGTGTACTCACCAAGCTCAGATATAGGTGCAAGTTCCGGTAACTTCATTTTCCACAAGACCCTGAGTTTCTAGACATGTTCAGAGAAGATACGTTTTTTGGCTTCCCTTCTTTAACAGCTCAGAGGCAAGTGATCTATTGCCAGGTGAGAGGGTCTCCACTGCCAGAACTTGAGTGCAGGCAGCCCAACTGTGCAAGAGTCTAATAGCGCACAGCTTCTTCAGAAGACCCAGCTACTGTGGGGAGCTCCTCACCAATTGCTACCAAAGTACTATTGGGGTGGCCCCTTGTCCTTGGATCCCTTCAGTTGTTTCCTTGTGGTACCAGAGCTACCCTGGACTTCATTGAGAGAATTGCTGTGTACTTGTATGTTTTGCTTAAAAGAGAAGCATGGGGTAAACTAAAAAAAAAAGTATACTCACCTATGTCGATGCAGCATTGGTCTGATACTACATCTGTCCACCGCTGCTTCTAAAACTGAGAATTGAGCGATCAAAGACCGCTGATCACTTGGTTTCTCAGTCAGCAGAGAGCCAGTGACTCTCAGCTATCAGCTCTTTGCTCAGCCCCTCCAATGATGTCAAGGTCCTACCTTTCTTCAGAGCTTGTGCATCTCCATGAGCTGGCATCCATCTTGGATTTCTGCAAAGCATGGTGGGAACCTTTATGCCTTCAGGCTTCTGCGGCTCCTCCTCAGAAGGGTGTGGTTGAGCACATTTAAACCTGCTGTCTGCAAGTGTGCTCTGCACTTGTGTCCTGTATGTTGCCCTGTTGCAAGCTCTTGTGTTGTTCCCATTGCTCTCCTGGTAACCGACTCGGTTTGGACAAGACTACTCTCTGCGTTAACCCTTTACCTGACCTCCCATTGCTGAACCTGGCCCGTGACCTGAGTATTCTTTGCCTACTGTCTAGTACTGTCTGCTCCGTTGTTATTGACCCGGCCTGTCTGACTACTCTACTCGTGTTCCCA